TCGATTGACCAGAGGTTAATCGGACGGATAGAGGTTACTCGATCAGTATTTTGGTGTGTCTCAGCTGGCCACACGATATGGTCAACCACACAGAAAACACGCTTATTTTATTTTTATAATTAATATAAAATTTTAGATCAAAAATAAATTGCAATTCTTTTTTTCATTGGCTAAATATAACATTTTATATGTGGCGCGCTAAAATATTTTGAAAATCTCGACTTCATTAATCACCCAAATAAATCATTTAATTTTATTCATGATAATTTTTTAAAAATAATAATCTTATATGTCGCTCTGATAATTTTTTATTTTATTTTTATTGTAATCCTACGTAATACTTTAAAAAAAAAACTAATCTTACGTGGCACAATCCTATTTTAGCGTTTTAAAAATATTAATTATACGTGGCAATTTTTTTTATTATAATCCTACGTAGCACTTTAAAAAAAACTAATTTTACGTGTCATAATCCTATTGTAGCGTTTTTAAAATATTAATCCTACGTGGCGCTCTAATAATTTTTGAAAAATTAAAATCCTATGTGGCGCTCTAAGAACTCGGAAAAAAAACTCCCCTTTATATATATACTAGTTTTGTGCTTGGGCGATGCCTAGATGGTTGATAAAATTTTAAGATAACATTTTTACTTGAATGTTAAATACGATCAAATAATTTCTTCTGATAATGTAGGATATTTAGATTTACGATATCATATGGAGTGTACTTTGTGTAGTTTTATTTGTAAATAGATATTTACGTTATTATTGACTTGAAATTATTTTTATTGAAATTAAAATATTTTCAGTTAACTAAAAGTATTTTACCAAATTAAAATTATTTTTGATTAAAAATTATTTTAGTGTTTATCTAATTTTTTTAAATAAATTAAATAACAATGCATTTTGTATGCGGCTAACCACACCATCTGGCCGGATAAAGTAACCCCTGTAATATTTAGTGAGTAACCTCTAACACTGACTAAGTAACCCCTATCTATAACACCGATTGAGTAACCATTATAACACTGACCAAGTAACCCCTATAGCACTAACGAAGTAACTTTGATCTTGTAATAGTTGGTGACACGTGGCCAGCTACGTATAAAAGTTTGTGATTAAATATATTATAAATAGATCTTATTTTATGGAACTTTTTAAAACAAATTTGATGATGGAAATAGAATTGAGTTATAAGATATTTATTAAAAGTTATGATTAATTTTGTATATACAAAATATTAGAATTTTATCAATAATAAAACTCTATACAACCATATTATCTTAAAAAATATATCCAAAAATTGCTTAATTAGCATCATATGTGTCAAAGTGATACTTGTTTATCTCCTACAAAGCACGACACTTGGCAAAAAACTAGAATGTCAAGTGTCACTGTCTCGTGGCCTGGCTGCGAGACCGGCTTTATTTATTAGTGATATGATATGATATATTAGATTTTGATAAAGATGACTAATTAAATTGTTTAACTTTTTATTGAGATATAGCAGTACACTAATTTTGATAAAGTATACTAGTAATTTTTTGACGGGTCGGAAATCCTTTGTTGATTTCTCTCTCCCTTTTTTTTTTAGGATCTATTCGGCAAAAGTAGTTGTAGCTGTTAGCTGTAGAGGTAGCTGTGAGCTATCAATAGGTAGTTCTCAGCTGTCAGCTATCAAGGTAGATGTTCATAATATGAATGTTTGGCAAATCTAGCTGTTGAAACTATTATTATTATATTATTATTATTATTATTATTATGATTATTATTATTATTATATTTTGATATTTTTAAAATATCGACTATAATATATAATGCTATTAAGCAATCACTTCATAAAATAAGATTTATAATAAAAATCAAATACTTCTGATTATAATGAAAATTAATGTCAACAACCAGGTAGAAAAATATGGTAGAAATCGTGATTATTTTGGTTTACTGGAAAGCAAATACATTGAGTCAAAAAAGATAGAAATTTTGGTTTTTTTTTTTCTAAAATAAAAAAAAAACTAAAATAAAACCTAAAAAATTGGTTGAACGCTATATTTACTAGCTTTTATCAAGAGCTATCTAAAAGCTACCTCCACCTCTAACAACTACTTAAAACACTACTTCACCAAATAATAATATTTTTTCTAGGTAGTGTTTGAATTAAGTTCAAAAGCTAACAACTACCTCTAAAGCTACCGCAGAACATACCCTAATTTCTCTTAATTAAAAATATGGCTTGCAATTTAATTTCAACAAAAATATGACTTGTATTTTGAATGCACAAGGATTTTTTAATTGACTTGATAGAATGATCACGTACATGTATGTAGTATAGATAAGATAAGAGCACATATACAATGCACATTTTTTATTGTTAACTTTCCTATCTCAACAAAAGATGAAATTCTATCAATTTATGCTTCTTATATATAAAACCTTTATTTTGCACAATTTATTTAACGACTAAAATATATAGTTGTGATTGTTAAGATAGAAATATATTATATGATTTGATTTGATATTATCTTATATATGTATAGGATAGGAATTTGGTAAGATTTGACCTTACCTAGATATACTGATAATTATCCTCTGCAACGCAATTCAATGATGGATCATCCTATCTACAACGGTGATTTAGGGCAACGATTTGCTGATAATTTTTTTTTTCCTGAGGTTCTACTACTAGAAGTGATACTGTTTTTTGGTAAGTCATATTCGAATCTTGATAAAACTGTAATGTGCTGAAATATTGTTTCTCTTCAGTTGATGAATTTATCAATTCCCTTTTGCAGTGATCTGATGATTTGTATTGTAATTTACGTGATGCAAAGAATATTAGGTTTAGAATTTGGGTTGGAAGGATTTGATGATGGAAAATTATAAAACTTTGTTACAAAATTAAATTCAAACCTATGCTATTCTATTTATCGGTCTAGTCTTTTGTATTGCAATTTGGCAACTTTACCATAATGCATACAAATTATATAAAAATGATCCTCCTAAAAGAAAATAGTATAAACTAATAATTTATAATTGTTTCTGGAGAAATATATTAATTAATTACATAAATTTGAATTGAACATAAACTTATTGTAACTGAATATAGGGGAATTCCATGTTCCTCATTGTGAGGAACATGTTTTGTTGCTCATGGGGTATGTGTCAAGATCTGAGAGTTCCATTCATTACACATAGACGGTCCCCATAAGTGAAAAACATCACATTATTTTCCAAAATGTCATTATGAGGAACTGGGGCTCCCTCCTGATTGTCACGTAACTGAAACTTGTACTTTAAATCAAAATCTATCACCACCTCTCCGTATAGTTTCCTAAGGGAATTGAATCAGCAATTCCACCCAAGGTTCCATAATCGACCAAGAGTAAACACCACGAGGTATACCGGAAATTTCAAGCCTCCGAGCTTCTTTATTTTTATCACAATAAACCATGAATTCTTGTAATTTAGTTTGGTTACGCAACACTAAAATGATATTGTGCTCGTCTTGTAAGCAAGCGAGATCGAAATAGTCTCCCCACATATTGTATATGTTGAAGCATGAGCATTCCCTTGAATTATGATGAAACAATGTTATCCAAGACTTCTTAACGTCGTTATTGTCTTCCAAAATAAAAACATCCAAGAAGTTCGTCACCATACATAGCTGTCCTCGTAAAATCGTTAATCTAGGTGAAAAACTAGTAATCTTGCTAGGAAGGGGCATCTCATAAAACTTTCGAGTAACAAGATCGAAACACTTTAACTCGCTTTGCCTTCGAAAAAGCCAGTGCAAAGTATTGTTAGCACAAACCGCCGATTTTTTACAATCAAACAACCTCATATCCCAAGGGGGGTTTTGAATGGTCTCCCAAACATTATAATTTACATTATAGAGTGAAAATCTACACTCTTCGGTAACGCCCCTAGCTTTTATAAATCGTAAAATCTTATAATCATCTTAATTGCTATCATAACCAAATCCAATACCGGAGCTTGGGTGATTAGTACCTGGTAATTGTGTTAATCTTTTATAAGCTCGAGTGACCGGATTGTACAAAGATATGAATGTAGTCAAGCAATCCAGAGATGACTCATCAACATCGTAATTTGAGAAGCATAGTAAGCCATTGCATGAGCCTACTAATAAATAAAATTGGTGTAATGAAAAAGAAAAAACATCTTGCAACCGCTTGGAATTAAGCCCGTATATTGTATTTAGTTTTTTAACGCGCTAAGTTTATGCCCTTGGCTTAGGTTGTATATATACCTTGTTTACACAGCTATACAAACTAAGGACTCACATTCTTGACATGGTAGCAGCAATACACTTGGGCATGTGAAGTTGAGTAAAACAATGGTCGAAAGGGATGGTAGTGGTAGTAACTTTGTTTTTGCTAACCTCGACGAAGAGAGGCCGAGGGTTGTACTTGATAGAGTAAAGCACAGGACGACGACCCAACATAGTTTGGACAATGAGACCAGGGTGTTTCAAGTTTGATTCGAGTGATCTATCAAGATAGAGCTTGGTGAAATTTGAATCATTGATTAGGTCATACAATGATTTTGAAACACATACACTTGAAACGTATAAGAGATTTTACGGGCAATCTTGAAAGGATATCACTAATTAGCTCTAATGGAAGGTGGTTAATTACTTTTTTAGGCTTCGGCAAATCCATTGTCAAAGGTAATGAATTGTAGGGTTAGACTTCACCTTATTTATAATGACAAAACTAAGGGGTGATTGCCTGATTGGAAACCTACTCTAACTTGGATTGATATTCTAGTTTAGTTTTAATATAAGTTGACATACAATCCTATCTAGTTACCAGTGGTGTAACCAGAAAAATTTCGAAGGGGTGGCCGGCCTAATTGATAATCTAAAAAGATACCTCAACAAGTCATAAATGCATATGTAATAATTGGGTAAAAAAAAAATTCAACATAAACCATTAAAATAAAAATATCTGTAAAAATTTGAAGTATTAAAAAAAATACTAATCACTTAACACGAGCTCTCCTAGGTTTCATAGAATAAAAGTCATCTATGATCGACTTTATTTCGAATTTTCCAGCAATCTCCTTTTCGATATACACTAGAAAGTAATCAAAAAGAAAGTCATCTTCGATCTTATTTCGAAGACAAGTTTTCACAATTTTCATTGCCGAGAAAGCTCTTTCTGTAGTTGTTGTGCTAACCGGAAGGGTCAAAATAAGTTGAATCAATCTATCAACTAATGGATAAGCAACTGATTTCCTAGTCTCCAACAAACTTCTACACAAATCAGTAATGGTACTCAAGTCCTTTATATTTGGGTGCTTAGCTAGGAACATCACAATCAAATTGTTGAAGTTGATACTTTAAATGTGATTTTTCATACTCTGAAAAGTCCTCGGGATAGTATTTCTCTGCAAGGAGACAAATATTTTCCACATTAAAGTGTTTATATCCATTAATAGGACTCAAAGACGCACTTAAAGTAAGTAGCTCTGTTGTTCGTTCACTAAAGCGACTATTTAGCTCTTGCAATTGCTTATCCGCGACTGCATTAAACACATCCACCCGATAATGATGCTCCACTGTTATGGTATCTTTGTTGCGTCGAGATTGAATTATTTCAGAATAAGTAACCTGCATATCTAGTATTTGAGTATCATGTTTAAGGCAGAATGATTGTACTTTTTGTAAAAGGGATTCCCAACCGTTATCTCTAAAATTTTGAATCAAGGATTTTGTACCAACAACTAAATGCATAGAATTTAAAATGTCTTGTGATTTATGCTGCAAAGCTCGACAAAAACCATCTGTATATCCCATAAGATCTTCCATAAGGTGTAAAATAAATAAGAAATCAAATGCTACCAACTTTTTTAGAGCAGATTTAGGATCCCCCGCGTTGAGAATATGATACCCGACGATCAATGGCTATTTTTACAAGGATTGAGCGAGTAGCATTGTACATTTTTAATAGACTATAAATCGACTTATAATTAGAGCTCCATCTAGTATCCCCAGGACGTTGCAACGTACCAATTTGGTTTAATCCTTTTCCTGTTTCAACCTCCTCAATCTCAATTAAATTCTCTAATTCAGCTATTTGGCTAGCTTGTAACTCATCATGACGCTTAGAAGAAGAGCTAACATCGTTAACAATGAAAATTAAATCTTTAAAAAAATCATGAACCTCGGCTACTTCCCTTGCTGTAGCAATAAGAGCTAATTGTAATTGATGTGCTAGATAATGTACATAATAAGCATAGTGACGTTCTTCCATGAACAAAGCCTTTAAGCCATTCCATTCTCCTCGCATATTACTAGCACCATCATAAGCTTGCCCTCTAAGGTTTTGAATGCTCAACTCATGGTTAGATAAAACCATAGAAATTTCTTCTTTAAGATCCTTGGAAGTTGTATATTTGACATGTACTAGCTCAAAAAACCGCTCTCGTAAATAACCATTTATGTCAACAAACCTTAAAACAATACCCATTTGTTCTCTTTTAGATATGTCTCGAGATTCATAACAATAATACAAAACTTTGAATCACCAATTTCCTCACGGATTTCTTTTTGCACTTTGTTTGCAAATACCTGTAGAATCTCTTTCTAAATTGCCGGAGATGTATATTTAGCATTTTGTGGGGCATTGTCCATCACAACATTACATACATCTTTATTATATGATGATAAGAGTTTTAACATCTCTAGAAAGTTTCCTTGATTTTTTGACTTTGCACTTTCATCATGTCCTTTGAATGCACAATTTTGAAATGTAAGTCATCGCACTACTTCAATTGAAGTTTTTATTCTTAAACAATTATCTTCAATCAATTGTGGATTAGGCTTTTCAATTCGAATGCCTGATTAATGTGACCTTCAATTTTCTTCAAATTCTCCCAACATATTGCTGAATATCCATGAGCTGAATTGGTATCTTTCCCCATATGTGATAACAAAGAACAACCTTTACCCCCAACCTTCTTCCAATTTCTGAATCCTTGGACTGTAAAAACATTTGATCCGGATTTTCCTAATGGGTCCTTTGGAAAAAGGAAACATGGAAAACAATAAGTTGCATCCGTTGTAGGAGAAAACTCTAGCCAGGGAAATTTATTAAACATGGAAAACCAATTAGATTGGAATCGACGTGGGTGATCTGTCGGACCTGAAGAAGGGTATTGAGCTAAGTGAAATTGATAAGGCCCGTAATTTATATATGCATTGACAATATCTTCCTGCTCCTTTGAAGGGTAATAACTATCAATTGACTTACGTAGAGTCAGATCACGCATCAAAATTTCCAATATTAAATGTAGGTTGAGCTGTAGATGCATTTGTTGATTGTTCATTATGGGTAAATTTCTCAGGATTTATATCAACATTCGTTTCGACAGTCACATTAGGGGATTGGTCTTTAATGTTTAATTCGGAAGGAGATTTTGCTTTCGAAAAATAAGAGTCAATTGCTTTCCTCTTCATATTTCAATCTAGAAAAAATAATATTATTTTTGATCAATTACATACTTTCTCCGATTTTTTTACTTGACCCGCTTTGACTTTTACACTATTCACCACCTCTCCTTTGAGAGTCTTTTGTGAATAATATGTAAGGAAAAACATATTCATTTGGGATCTTTTTGAATTCGTCTCAATAAATACTATTATAATATATAAATTTTATAAAGTTTACTTATGGAGAATTAAAATTATTGATCTTTAAAATTTTGGATGGGCAAGTGTGATAAAAGAAACAGGTCAAGTAAAAAAGAACAAAGCAATTTATAATAAAATTATGAGATTATATTCTCTAATGGCTAATTAAATTACATTATACAAAGTAATACAATTTATAATCTAATTTAAATTACTTAATTTTGATTATATAACCCTAATACATGTATTAAAAAATAAAATAATGAAATTACAACCAAAAAAAAAAAAAAAGTCGGAAAACGGAAGACGTACCTGAAGGCCGAGGGATTGAAGGTATGTGTGTACTCCGTATATTAACTAATATAGCCGCTTAACATAACATACATGGCTTTTCTTTTCTTTTCTTTTTTTTAATTTGGGCTTCAGCATTAATTTTTTATTTTTCTGGGCCAAGGGGTGGCAATGGCCCACCCAGGCCCCTCCTAATTCCGCCCCTGCTAGTTACTATATTTAGCTAGGATAGATTATGATTAGTTAATGTATTTATTTTGATAAAGATGATTAATAAATTTTTTTTTTTTTTTGACAGGATGATAATAAAGATGATAAATGAAATTGTTTAGCGGATATTAGATTATAATATACAAAAATGTAGTATATTTAGCTAGGATAAATTATGATTAATTAATGTATTAATTTTGATAAAGATTTTTTTTTTTTTTTTTTTTTTTTTGTGACGGGATGATAAATATGATTAATGAAAAGGAAAATTTCAAAATAACCACCCAAAAAACAGACCATTTTAAATTTAACCACCCAAAAAAAATTATTTATATTTAACCACCCCTTAAATTAATTAATCATACAGATGACCACCCAAATCTATTTTTCGGTGGAATTTTCCTCACTGGGCCCCACCCAACGGCTAGTAACGGCTACTTTTCCCTTTCTAAATGAATAAGTCCACGATTTTTTCAGAAAAAACACTTCCCCTAAATCAAATCAAATTTCTCCTTCAATTTCTCCCAAAAACGTTGGAAAAAAACTTCCCCTAATTGCAGACGCACCCCCAATACAGACAGCAGGTGAATTCGCAACAGGTATTGTTTTTCTATTTAAAAAATTAGGGTTCTTGTTGCACTAAATTTGGGGAAAATTGGCGAAATTGTTAGTTAGGGTTTGTTGTTTAAAGCACGAATTATATGATTTCAAAGCAAGAATTAATTGTTTGTACAATTGGGGAAAATTGGGGTGATTAGTTAATTGGGGATTCTATGCATGACTTTGATTGATTATTTGTTGTTGGAAATCTTGTGGCAGCAATGGAGGAGAATAAGGTGTTATTCAGATTTAAGTACTTGAGTGTTGTTATTGACATTGAATACGAAGTAGGCAAAAGTAACTTGTTGGATACAGCAATAGAAATTGAAGATAAACTTCGTGAAATGGAAGACCCAGTAGAAGGTTCAAGTGACATTCTGCACCCCACATTTCAGTATATTTATAGAGGGAAGTATAGGACTTTAGAGGATGATGGTGATGTGTTCAAGATGATTAGGAGGTTACCTAATAAGGACATGTATACCATACATGTTGGGAGCACAGATGACCCTGGTTTTTTGGCTGATTGTATCTTGGAGTACAGGATGAAACAAAATGGGACATGGCCACCCCCTGGTTATCCTCATTATGGAGGTCAACCACCACAATGACTAGGTGTGGTTGAGTAAGAAGTGTGTAATACATTGTGTAATGGAAGTGTTTGGTTAATTGACATTTGTTTTGGTACTTGCAGGTTGGAAGATGTCCTGGAATAGCTCATCTTTCCCAAACTAGATTAAATGCAATTGTGGATTGCCTCTTGCAAAGTTGACATCTTGGACTAGGGAGAACCCAGGGAGGAAATTCAGGGCTTGCAAATTCTATGACCCTGTCACTGAAAGTAGGGGGTGCAAGTGTTTTGAATGGGTTGACACTGAAGATGGAACTGAGTGGCAGAGAGATGTGATCAACCAACTTCTACTTGACAAAAGGCTAATCAAGGCTGAAGTTAACTCACTTAAGAGAGAGGTTGATGACTTGATTGGCCAGAGAAGATGTTTGCTGAATGAGGTTGACACTTTGAAACTGAAATGCAAGGCCCTAAGTGGTGACAAGAAGAAGATGATCAGCAACAATGGCAATTCTGATAGCAAGCTCCAAGTTGTTGTAGTAATTATGTTTTCTGTTTTTTTAGTTTTAGCCTATGTTGTATTGAATAAACTGGTTTAATGGGGAGGAGCAGGATGGGATGATTGTAATGCTATTTATATGTGTTATTATGGAATGAAATGAACAAGTTATTTTGGTACAATTTTTAAATAAAAAGCAAGACATACATGTGCAAACTCATTACTGTCATTGAATGACTGAAGTGTGAACATGTTCATAAGTGATCCTAACACATTACAGCCAAAAGCATAGTACCATCCAATGTACTGATGTACATATCAAACATTGATTAACAAAGTAAAAAACATGCAACTACCTATCATCTCCTGCTAACATACAAAATAGGAGGTGATTAATCTACTTGCTAGGTCTAATTCTAGTTGCTAGGTCTAATTACATGTAGCTTGGTTCTTGGTGGCATTTGACTTGGTTGATATGCTGCAGCTAATGTGGATGATGTAGGATGTGGTGCAAAGCTTGTGGCAGCTGTTGTGGATGTAGCTTGGCTCTACTGAGTGTCCTGCTGTTGTTGTTGCTTCCTCTGCTGCTCTTCCTGAGGGAACCTCTTGCTGCCAATACTGTTTGGACCAGGTGTACCACCAACTGCACTCTATTAACCATAGTACAGATTTAGTAGTCAAAATAATACTGCAAAAAAGCATAAACACAATGTACAAAATTCCTGGTTATTACCTTTTTCAAAGCTTTTTCTACTCTCCTCTTTCTCTGGTTTTTCACCCAGTTAGTGTCCAAATGGGGTCTTCCACCTTCTTTCTTTGGTGAAGACACTACTACAGGTGTGAGAGGAGGGTTTTTGCAGGTCTTATCATAGTGGCCAAGCTGGCCACAGTTCTTACAAGTGGCCCTCCTATTGAGTGGCTGCTGCACTTGTTGGTTCTGCCCACCCATTTCTCCCTGTTCCAACTTCCTCTTCTTAGACTTAGGCCTCCCAAGCTGTACCTTGATGGCTGGTGGTAGTGGTTGCCTCAGCTTAACCCTTTCCCAATGGCGTGGACCAGGCATAGGTGCGATCTCAAGCCTATATGCCAACATATATGTGGACACAAGGTAAGCATTGTCCGCATAATCTTCTAGGTCAGCCCTTTTGTCCATGATGCATGCATATGCATGGACACAGTTCCCAATGGAAGCAAGTGCATGTTGCCTTGTTCAGGTCAACTGTTACTTGGTCAGAATTGAGTTGAACCTCATAACTGTCACCCCTAGACAGTTGCACAATGCAATGCCTTGCAACTGGTTCTATCCTTTGAAAAACCTTCTTGACATAAGGAACAACCTTCCCTTCCATTTTCAGAAAAGCTTCCCATTTGTCATTGTTTCTTTTCATGGCATACCTCCTAAGCCACTCCATTTGAGTCAAAATAGGCTTATCCCTAGCTTCTTTCATTACAACATTAAAAGTCTCACAAATGTTGTTGAGCAACATGTTTGACTTTGGGAATGTGCTAAAGGCATGTCTGGACCAATGTTTGGCTGGGATGTCAGATAGATATTCAAAATCTTCCTCAGACAAGAACCTAATTGACTCCATTGCTACTTCAAAGTCAAACTACAAATGAAGGAAAACCATACAAACATATAAACACCCAAATCAGAATTACAAACAGTCATAGACATAGTAGCATTACAATTAAAGTTCTTATGCATACCAATGTTGTTTCCCTTGCTGCTGACTAGAACAGTTCCTTGAAAGTGGATCCACTAAATTGTAACTTGAAGTTAGCCTATATATGTCTGACACAATACCTTGTGTCTGCATAAGGAACAACCTGGTGCAAAGCTTCTACCAAGCCCTGTTCACACATCATAAATCAAATTAGCCAAGTGGACAAAGATAAAATAAGTATTGTAATTATTTTTGGATATATGTTTACCTTTTGCCTATCAGATATAAAGGTATATCCCAGGCCTCTTTCTTCATCTTTCAGGGCTTTCATCAAACTCTCAAGAAACCAAACCCAAGTCTCTGTATTCTCAATTTCAGCTGTAGCCCAGGCAATAGGGTAAATGTTGTTATTGCCATCCTTACCAACTGCAACCAAAATCTGGCCAGGATAGGGACCTTTCAGATGGCATCCATCAACCCCAATAAATGGTCTACAACCAGCCAAAAATCCTTTCCTAAGTGGTGCAAGGCATATGAACATTCTCAAGAATAATGGGGGGTTCAATCTGCTCTAATCCATCAACTACAACATTACACTCAGTACCAGGGTTGTACTGCATAAGAGCCTTCACATAGTCCCACACTCTTGCATACTGTTTTGCTGCTGAACCATAGATCATGAGCTTAGCCCTTGCCCTTGCCATCTAAGCTTTACAGTATTTAATTTCTATGCCAAAATCACCAAAAACTCTCCTTCTGAAACTTTTTATCTTCCACCCTGGGTCACTTCTCCCATCCTCAATGTACTTCTCAACTAAAAATTCAGCAGAAAGATTGAGATTGCTTCTTACCCTTAAACACTTGTGCTTTAAATTTAGACTCTTAATCTGCCAAAAATCTTGGTTGACAGACCTCCTAGCAACCACCCTAAAATGACAAATCCTCCCCCCAACACATGTGCACATAGGCAGCCTAGTCTTTTTTTTATTCCATTTGCATTTACATCTCCTTCTACACTGGGTTGTTATTTTGCTGCTTTCATTGTGCAAATACCAGTATTCATACCTGTTCTCAATGGCATGCTGCTTTAGAGCTCTCCTAAGCAGTTTGTTATTAAGGAACTTATGTCCTTTCACCAACTAAATGGCCTTCTTGTAGTCTGTTGATGCATGAAACCATGGACAATTATCTTGCTCATCATCAGACCCTTTAGGGCTATCCAACTCCTCTGAATCAGAAGTGAACTCTCCCTGCAAAGCAACTTCTTTACTCAACAATTCACTTTCAAGCAGATCATCACTGTTATGCACTTCATATTCAACCCTTTCTTGCTCACCTTGGAGACTTGCATTCACTTCTTCAATTATGTTATTAACAGTGTTGTCAAGACCATCTCCAATATCAGCATCCTCATCTTCCCCCTCCTCTTCCCCTGCTTCCCACTCTATGTCAGTGTCAGGGCAGTCAAAGCTTGAGGAACCAGATCTAGAATCTGATTCAAACTCAGCCTCTCTGTTTTTCTTCCTTTTCCTTTTCCCTGTTTTTCCCCTTTCCCAGTACCTTTCCCTTTCCCTTCACCCTACTTCCCCCAGATGTGCCTTCCTCTTCACCTTGCTTCTTCTTCCCTTTCACACTCTCTGAGAACAATTCCTTTCTTGTTGTTTTCTCAGTGTGCTCTACAACCCTAGGCCCCCCTTTTTGGTTGTTTTCTGTCTCATCCTTGTCTTTATTAGCCAACAGCTGCTTAAACATTGGGCTTCTCCTAACTTTAGTGAGCTTAACAACTTTGCTTTGACTATTTTGGGTGGGTTGGACAACACTGGGTTCTTGGCTAGTACAATAAACTACAGCAAACCTATCCTTAATCTTTGTCTCCAAAAAGCCCTTCACATCATCATCACTCAGAATTTCCTTTTTACCACTTGACCAACTCTTCCCCCTTTTTTTATACCAAATATTCCACATGCTTGGCACATGCAAATCAAACTTCACAAACCCCTAAATGCAAGATTCCCTAAGTAAGCTGACTGACATCTCACTCACTCTGCACTTGTACCTCCAATATTCCCAGCCACCCTCATACCCACACAAAGTCTTTTCCTTTATTTTTTTGTTCACAAACACACCCCCTAATCTAACCTTAACATCTACAAATTCAACTTCAGCAACAATCTGTGCATATAATAAAGCACTATTAATTCATGTACACAACACCAAATGCCTAACTAATCCCCATACCAGAAGTAAACATACAACCATTAACATAATGCAATGTGTTCTACATAGCAGCAATAAACAAATCCCCCAACTAATTGTCCTCCCAACATCATTAAACAATTCAACAAGCAGTAAACAAAGCAGCATTAAAAAAAGCAATGTGTTGTGCATACCAGTAAAAAACAAATCCCCCAATTCACTGTCCTACCAACATACTTAAAGTATTCAAGAATAATTGACCTACATTTATTAATTCAAGCTACTACACAATGAACCCTAACTCTCCACATATTTACAATTATACCATCAACAACTAGCCAACAACCTTCAAAATTAAAGTCAAGGAACAGAATTCATTACCTCTGTCGTCGCCATTGTACACTGCAATTGTGAGGTTCCTGACCTACGCTACTGGTCTCCACCAAACACCCAAATGATGGCCACTTTTCACAATGTACCTCGCGCAATCACCCACGAGCAACTCCTTTGCATCACAAACTTAAAGTTAGGGTTTGCAGCAAAAATTAGGGTTTTAATTTTAAGAATTGTTGATAAATTATGAACACACTGATAGAGCAAAGTAGATTAATGAATTTTTCAGAGAATTTTTGAAGTTAATTAATGAGGAAGCAAATGAAACTAACTTCTGGAAGTTCAACAGTGAGGGAAGTCGAAATACAACGAAAAAAGGGAGGGAAATAAATTATGTGGGGCCCAGTGACGGAAATTCCACCGGAAAATAGATTTGGGTGGTCATCTGTATGATTAATTAATGTAAGGGGTGGTTAAATATAAATAATTTTTTTTTTGGTGGTTAAATTTAAAATGGTCTGTTTTTTGGGTGGTTATTTTTAAATTTTCCTAATGAAAATGTTTAACTGCTATTAGATTTTAATATACAAAAATGTTTATATCCTAATTTGCGATTGTATATTTTTTATTTCATCTCACTAAGTTTACTTTCTAACCTTAGTAACCCTTGATCAATAATAATTAATTAAATGATTAATTTTCTCTTTATCAGCATTTCCACAAAATTGTAGTCTTAATATTAAGATACGTAAAGTATTAAAATAAAGAAACATACATTATTACTCGAAGAAAAATAAGTTAATTATGAACTGAATAATCACTAAAATATTACGGTAGTCATATTTCAATTGATCACTATATAAAATTTTCGTAAAATTACTAAAACGAAAAACAAACTCGATTGTATAATCTTAATCTTCAATGAATAATAAAGTTGTACAATATCCCCCTTATACCACTCCTAATATACCCTTAAGCCCATAAAAATGCCCATAGTGCTAATTAACCCTAAAAATATATCCAATGCCAATTTAACTTGCAAATAAAACAAAGCCAAACAATTCAAACGATTAACCCAACTAATTATTTTGATCCTCTACACATTCACATCTATGGTCCTAAAGAATAACCCAATCCTTATTTGGTCATTTAAAACTCTACCAATGAGCAAAAATGAACAAATGAGTACAGATAAACGTTCTGGCGCGATCAATCTCAACTCTAAATATACACAGGTGCATAATAGAGTTTGTCATACAATCATCCTAAGAATTAATAAAGGGGTATATCTCATATCTCACGTTACAACTCCCACTAACGACCCTCCCACCGCGTTTTCCATCGCAACAATTTGGTAGCTCACTTATTGCTTGATCCAAGCACATCTTGCAAACTTTGTTCGACAGATCCTGGTTGCACTGAGCTAACCCATACAAATTTGTAAACGTATCAAGCTTTGTTTCACCAATTGCGTAAAGTTTCCTAGTGGTAGCACCCTGGATCGCTAACTTACTCAATAATCCCTTAACTTTTGTGTTAAACAAAATAGGATCATTACTTACATTAGCAACGTTCAACAAATAAAATTTATTTTTGTTATCGATTTGGCCAAAGAAACTTCGGTCCAAATATTTCAACATACAATTGTCATACCATATAACAGCGCCTTTGTTATAAGGGCAACTCTTACGAATTTCAACACTAGCATTAACAACACATTTGTTACACTCTAGGGAGTTTACGTCCCCCCTGCACTGAGCGATTCCAAAGAACATAGACGGGTATGTACGAGTCATGGCACGCGAAAAGCCCCAAGGAGAAAGATTTTTCGGTAGAAGCCCCATTAATGTATTAACGTTTTTCTCTTCGACGGAATTAGGAGTGAAGTTTCCGGCGGTAGATGAACATATATGGTAGAGTGGATCAACCGCTACAACTGTATTAGTATTATAGATTAGGAAAGTAAATGGTAATAAAAAGAGAGAGGAAATAATATGAATGTAAGACATAGTTGAACAATGTAATTAATGAAATATTGAGAAATATGGGTTATAGATTGTTGAGGTTGTATGTAATCGAACTTAACAATATATAGGTGCATTCCCTTTTGACTTTTGAACATGTACATTTAATTTTGTTTGTTATTTTTTTTTATTGTAATTATTATTTAGAAAAGGTCAGAAGAAATATGTGTTGCGTTTAAAAATGGTAAAGTTTCTAAATATTTTACTACAAAACGCCGTATTTCTTGGCATTTGACTAGACTATTATAGGTGGTTTTACGTAGTCTTAAGCTTCTAAGGCCATTTTTGACTTAGTATTAGCTCATTATTGGGTATTTCAACTTTTCCGTAGGAATTGCTCCTCAAAAGTGGTCATAATCTTTTTTTAGAAACTAATATGTGATTTTATTAGTTCCAAATCTGATGAAACTCTAAAAATTAAAGTTTTCAACTTATCATATAGGTCTCCACCTTATTTGGGGATTATACTACTCATTTCCTAAACTATCTACTAAACCTATATACTATACTGGATGTGTCACATGTGTGCGTAAACATATGAAGATCGATACTAATAAATAAAATAATACTAATTAATCAAAAATCATAAATAAAAACACGATAATTATGAAGATATCTACCAGTACAGTAGTACATTATCAAACTAGTGTCAATGTTCCAATTCATATAGCATAGTGCATCAATCTCATCAGTGCCTAAAAGTGCAGAAATAGCTTGGAGTCTGGGACTGCTTCAAGAGCACAAAGAACAAACATGTAAAAAGTGATGCATACCGATGAAGAAAAAGAATAAACAGACGCTCACTTGTGCAATAAGGTGACCATAATTGGTTACCATCATCTGAAATTAACCATAGATTTGGACATTTAAGTGAAAAGATAACAACGCCCATACATCTCCATTCTAACAGAAGACTTTACATGTTTAGAGACATACAATTGGCAGATGATGGCAACAATGGCAACTCAAGTAATGCAGCTACCACACTATCAAGGTTTTTACATATCCTTACTCTGTAGATGGAAGATGACTAAAGCATTAACTATGCTGTATGGTTTCCGTTCCTTTTCTGATGCAAAAAAGCTATTGAGAACTCTTGATAAATCAGCCTAGTAAGGGTCGAAATTTAGACCACTGAATTCAATTGTATCAGGTAAAAAAGATTATATCATCTCAACAATTACAAATCTTTGCCTCTAACTACTCATCAAATGCCGCTTCTGTAGTGACTAACAGAACTGCCTCACTCAGCTAAACAAGGGGACATATCAGGGCATTTTAAAGCTGAAAGTTTTCGGATACCTCTACCTCTACCCCTCAGAACAGGAGGAGCACTAGCAAGTTCCCTTACTCGTTCTATTACAGGATTTGGCAACACATGCGAATTATTCCTCTGATCATCCTGAAAAAAAATTTACAGAAGAAGTGAGTATAATTTCACAAGTGACAAACAGACAACATATTTCTGTGAAATACTAGTTTGTTGCATTTTCCTACCACTTGACGTTTTTAAGACAATAATGGTACATGAAATAGTAAGGAACCATGTATGTCAATGTCTTATACACAGAACTTAGACATGATTGAAAAATCAAGAATGAGAATAATATGAAATTGCATGAGAAAACACTTTATCTAGCATTATCAACATTATTCTCCCAAATTAAACAACTATCTACTGAATGTTGAGGGTTATCACAAGTATACTTGATGAGAGAGTTGAAGTGTACAATCTACAATGTTAACTATGAAATGATAAATAATTTTCACAAACTGGCTAAATCAGAAAGTGAAACATTTGTCTTTCCACTTGATGCATAACCATGTCCGGATAACACTTCTCCATTAAGAACCGCAGCAAGAAAAGAAAGCAAAATCCTCCTTGCACGCCTAAGTGCTGCTTTTTAGACAAAGTTTCATTCATTAGCAAACCATCTTGTCATTTTCTACTGAATTATTCAGAAGCAGCATTTAAAGAGTAATGAATACACTTTTAACATAATCAGAAGGTTAATGTTACGAACATGGACAAAAGACACTTCAAGTGGCTGTCCACTACAATGAACTTAAAATTGGGTTTCAGACCCATCCAAATCATCTGATAATCCTCCGTATCAAAACAATAACATTATAATAGATCATGTAACATATTCCTTTGGGATCACTACAAGAAAAAGACTCTCGTCACAGGCCTAACAAAATATCCTAAAAAGGCATGTTTAAAATGAAAAGCATCAATACACATAACTGAGAATTTCTGAGCAATTGGAAGCAGCTCCATCACACATTGTTTATGCACCTTCTAACACAACAGAGTAGAACATTCTCCGAACACTTCATCATTCACAAAGTTATGATGATACTGTAGATCACACAATTACAGGAAAGAGCTTACAACAACAGAAGTTGATGTAGTGACACGAAAATCATGAAGACAACAAGCAGATGGTCTATTTAAAACCAAACAAGTACTGAAAACAATAAGGGGCCGTTTGGTTGAAAGGGGAAAGGATAGGGAAGCAAATGTATGTAATCCCTTTGATATAGTAGGTTGTTTGGGTTAAATGATTTACACAAAACACAAAAGTCAAACACAGAGTGTCTCCTAGGCTCCTCCCACCCTTTTCTTCATCTCTTCCTTGCTGACGTATTAGCTTACCTCAGCACCGCCACCTCATTCAACCATTCACCTAAGTTTTAGTGGTAAAATTCGACTCTACAACTGCAGATATGGATTTTTTATGGTAAACTTGGACCTTCTAAAACCATCATTTATGATATGAAGATATATTTGGAATATTCATTCGAGGTATTTAGGATGTTCATTCGAGTTTGTGGTTGATTTTTTTTTTTTTTTTCCATTCCTTGTTTTTGGTATATTTGGTGGCTGGATTTTTCTTGGTGTTAGGCAAGGTGGTTTTTGTAGTGTTTGGGTTGATTTTCATGGGTATTGGATATTGGGGTTGGTGGGTAGGTTTCATGGTGGTAAGTGGTGGGTGGGTTTCATGGTGACTGATCAGATCGGCGTTAGGATGATAGTGGATGGAGTTAAAAGTTATGAGTGGTTGTGGTGGTGGATGGGGTTAAAGGTTATGGGTGGTGGTGGTAGTTGGGTCATGGGTGGTGGTAGTGTAGGAATCTAGAGGAAAGGGAATGGAGAATCTTTTGGCGGAGGTGGAGGGGGGTTGAGAGTAGAGGACTTTACGGGAATAAAGAAGAGAAAGGAGATGATTTAAATGTGTTAACAAACAGCAAGAAAGGGAAAAGACCCTTTTGATTCCCTTAACGTCTCCTGAATACCATCCACCAAACACATCCTAATTGTCTGTTTTTAAAGATGACAATCTACGTTACCTGAACTCAGGTAGTCAGGTATAAGTGTTGGGTTTCCAGGAATGGGTAGAGGACTTAGGGGGGGAAGAGGGGAATGAGAGTAGATGACTTTAGGGATATAAAGAAAAGAAAGGAAATGATTAAAATGTGTTAACAAACAGCAAGAAAGGGAAAAGAAACCTTTGTGGCCCAAGTATCCCACATGTCAAAAACTCAAAATTCTAGGAAATGGTGCTTTATGTCCTGAAATAAGACACACGTACAGAGACACTAAATTAAAATAAATAGTGGAAATTATTTGTCTGAAAAGACCTGAGGTCTTTATGTTCTACTTAACTTATTTCTTTGATTTTTTTTTTTTATTCACAAACCCTAAGATTTGGTTAAGTGTTTACAGAATTTTTGGACAAATTGAAATAGAAAGCTTTTTTTTTTTCCTTGTGATAGCATGAGAATGTCAAATTCAAGTGCTTCCGGTGGGTTTGAGGGCCACTGCTGGGGCGAGGCAGCCCATGGAATGCTAGTGTGGTGTACCTATGGCATTGTTGAGGTTATGGACTTTAATATATCCTAGATGGCAATTCATCAAATGCGAATTATATGAGCCTGAAGATCCTGCACAGAAGGGTTTAAACTATGGGAGTGATTGGATGAAAACGGCAAAAAGAGGTGACAAATTTATAGCTTGAGAAGGTGTTGATTACTGAAGTGAACTTGCTCAAGTGTACCATCGAGAAGTCATGGAATTTGTCAAGTTTTGAGGATATACACTACATAATTTTTCACCCTTAAGATTGACATGAGAAACCAAATATCCAGGTTGGTCTCTAGAATTAACATAAAAGGGAGAACTAGGATCAAGCTTACCTTCACGGCTTCACCGCCCATTATCACAGTGCTAATAAAGAACATGAACGCTAACGATGGTTAAAAAATAAAGGAAAAATTGGTAAAAATAATCCCAACTTTTGCCTGTTTCCTCAAAATTATCCCAACTATGGATTATTTATAAAACAATCCAAACTTTAAAGTCATTCGCTCAAAATGGTCTCAACTTGTAACCCAACATGTTATAACAGGTGAAGAGGACACATGTAAAAAAAATAAATAAATAAGATTAAAAAAAACTAGCCCACCCACGACCACCCTCCCCACCACCGTCCACCCCCTTCCAAATCCCCTCATCCCCGCCCATGCCCGGGCCCCCCTTCCCCCATGTCGGCGCCGCCTTTCACCTACCCCCGAACCACCAAACCCCCACCCTAGTACCCAACTCAAAACCCCTCCCAGTCCCCCGGTTGAACCCCCCACCCTCGGAACCCCTAGTCGATAAGGTTCCAAGGGTGGGGGAGGGGTTTGATGGTTCAGTGGGGTAGGGGAAAGGCAGCGCCGAGGGATGGGGGTCTGGGCCGTCGGCGAGGGTGGACCAGGTGGTGCTAGGGTTGCATGGCTGGAGGGCTTTATATTTAGGTTTTCTTTTTTTTTAATTAATTTATTTCAACTAATCACGTGGTGACACGTGTCACTTAAACAAAACAAAAATAAAAACAAAAACCTCTTTAACAGGTTTGAATGACCCTAGAGTTTGAATCATTTAAAAATAATCCATAGTTTGAATTATTTTGGACGAACGAGCAAAATTTGGGATTATTTTTACCAATTTTTCCAAAAATAAATTAGGGTTTGAGAGCACTGCTTGCCATGTATTGATTCACAATTACATTTAAACCTAAGACCACAAGCATAATCACATATTCACAACCCATTCTACTAATATAATACACTTCCTCCGTTATTTTAATTACACCACTTAGAGTTTCATACTTGACACTTAAAAACCTTTGGCAATAATATCCTTAATCTGCTTCTAGTTAATGCAATTAAAAATAAGATATATTAAAAAATATACATAAAAAAAAATCTAATAAGATCTCACATGACTATTTTTTCTAACATAAAAGGCACAAAATATAGTCACAGACTCGCAACACAAATTCTTGATTAAGGCGAACTTTCATTACATTATTGTAAGACGAGTTAAAGTTACCCTAAAAGTATTTAAAGTTACCCTTATATACTAGAAAAGTTACCATTTTCCTAACATAAATTTTATTCTTCAAAAATATTTAAAATGCATTAGATTAATCATATTAGCCTTCTTAGCATGTATCCATTTAATAGCAAATTACATATTAAAATACAATTAGAGTCATTACAAATTAAAAGTTATCCTTAAAGGGATTAAAGTTACTGTAAAGTGTTAAAATTACCCTCAAAATGAGGGTCTTACAATAAAATAAACATAAACTCGCCTCATACAAGACTTTGTAGTCAAAGAGCAATGTGAATAGTAAAAAAGTGCAAATGGTGCGATTAAAAAAACGGAGAAATATATCGTAACAGAATCCAAAGTTTTTTTTTTATTCAGATGAGGATGGAAACAAATAGAGAAAGAGAATGGGTAATTGAGTAAATAAAATGGAGCGTGCATTAAAAATGCTAATAGTACCAAATATAAGTTGGGTCAAAGAACGAAATTTGACGATTTCAACAAAAAAAAAAAAAAAAAAAAAAGGGACTATTTTAAATTTCCTTATTTTCAAAAACGCAAAATACATTACTAAGCACTCATCTCATAATCAAGCAATCTAATTAGAAAATTCCTTGAGAAATGGAAAAGTTGATTCTAATAATCTAACCTAGCAATTTGTAATCCAACCGTTGACACCAATCCACTTTTAACATTCCCATCCGGTGAACAACCCTTTATAGTGGGTCACCTATGCAAAGCACTTTCTAATTGGTTAAAACTTTTGATATTAGAAATTTTATTTTTCAGCTTTGATATTTAAAGTTAATAAGAAAAACCACTTTCGCCACCACCTCATTCTCTCTCTCCCCCCTCACCACCACCTGACCACGACCTCCTTCACCAACTTGCACAAGCACCACCACCAACAACCACTTTGCCCGGTACCACCGACCCCCACCCCTTCACTTTTCCCTTAAATATCTTTTAATGTCGACCAACTTCCGCAATAATACCCATCAATGCCTTCAATGCTCAATTTTAGTCTAACAATAAGTCTTTAAGTCCCATGTTCATGATGATTCTAATGAAGTAATGTTTATTGCAAAAAAAATTATGTTAGAATAACTTTTAACCACCACATACATTGTGTACTTCGTATAAGGGTAACTTTTGACCAAGCTTAGATGACTTAGAAACTACAAGTATTTAAATTTATTTGTACATTAGGAAGCCAAGTGATTTTTAAATTGTAAGATTTTTAAAGGGTAATATTGCAATCTTTGAAATAGAGGTGATTTTAAGGGTATTTTTTTTATGTTGGGATAACTTTTGATCATTTTGCAGTAATAAATTTAACCTTTAAATAATGTAACTTGGAGTAATGATTTTCTATAGCGAGAATATGAGATTGAGGATATTAAAAAGAGAATGAAATTTAGATGCATACTTTTTACTATGTGTCAAAGCTATACAAGTATATGTTATTGGTTATTGTATAGTTTTTTTTTTTTTTTTTTTTTTTATTATTATTATTATTATAGAAACTTAAAAAAAAAATATACTTATTTCGCCTAGGGCCTATGAATTGCCGGGAACGGGACTGCAACAACGCATGGAAAACTCTCTTCTGCTTCTTTCGCTCCCTTAGGGCAACCTCTCTCCTCTCCTCCATCGCATCCTACCTTATCACTACCGCCTTCCTTTTCTTGTGACCGACAACATCAACCATCATAAGACGAGTGTGCGGTGATATTGTTGGTGTGGCACACTGTGAAGGGGCGGCGGAAGCTTCCGTTTTCATGTGGAGTGGAAATTCATCATCGTTGATCTCAACTCTGTAAACTAAAAAAAAATACCTATTCTTCAGGGGCCGTTCACTTGGATCATTAGAAGATAATAGTTGTAAAAAGCTTAGATTATTGAAAATTAATCAAAAGGTTTGCTTTATATCAGCAAACCGCTAAAAGGTTGGATTATTATAGTCATTTATTCCTTTAAAATTTGGGAAAACCATTGGTTGATCTTATCCAATTGTAAAAGGCAGGACGTCAGGTATTACAAAAGGCTGATATCACAAGAACATCATTTCAAGATCAAGTTTCAGTTTATGAGACTTGCAAAGAAACGGGATTATTAACCTAATGTACTACATATCAGAATTACAATAATCAGACATCATCACAGAGCACTAACTAATTGTGTTCTCTCGTAATCAGTTAGGGGGTGGAGACCAGGGCTAGTGTTTTTACAAAAAATCTCTAGCCATGGAGGGACAGTTTTTGTAAATTGTTCTGGACTGAGGAGTTTAAAGAGCTCATAAAGCATCTTGGATTTAAGACTTAGCTGTCAAAGATATATGACAATTAATCTAGAGAAAAAAAAAAAAAAAAAAAAAAAAAAAAAAAGATAACTTGGTGCTGCGTTAATTCAGTTCTGGTCTCTTTAAGTTCAGGTCCCTTCCTTGACATATGTAATTATGCTTATGGTCAATATCATTATGGCTGTTTATTGTGAAGTAAATGTAAAACTCTTCGGGAAGCTTTAGAGTCCCAAGTTCAGGTCTCTTCCTTGACATATGTAATTATGCTTATGGTTAATATCATTATGGCTGTTTATTATGAAGTAAATGTAAAACTCTTCGGGAAGCTTTAGAGTCCCAAACTACTTGTATTAAATCCTATCCAGACAACAATGAAGACATACACATAAACATACACGCAAAATACACTTCAGAATAATCATTCACAAATACTCCTAGTAATCTTTACCACAAAAAATACAAAGATCTCTCTCTCAGAAAAAACAAAGGGCACCAAGTTAATCTAAACCCACTCTAGATTAAAGTCAATAAGCTTTTTTAAGCAACATAAACTATATGGATAGTAGGTCTTGTTCTGACAAGCTAATAAACTATTATTTAATTTTTCAATTTCAAAAACAGAAAACAAAGATAGTGTATGTAATCCAATAGGCATGTTATGATAAGGTGGATGATGGTTTATGTTAGTCAGAAGGTGGATGATGAACAACCCACATAGTTAGCATTATGTAAAAGTGTTTTACTCATCAAGATTATTGAATGCAAGCCACAGATCAAAAGATGATGAAAGAAAAGAATTTCAACAGTATAAGTTATTAAAGATCAGAATCAGATAAAGATAACTCATGAAATGTGATTGTATACATCAGTCCAAATAAGTCATTTGATGTGCAGGTCAAAATGAATATGCAAGCAAGAAGCATGTAAAACCAAACCTTTTTCCCCTTTGAACTTCTACAATTAGTCTTTACAAGGTTCCGCCACTTATCCTGCAAAGACCACCACAGGCAGATAATTTCCAAGCTTGGTTGTTTGCACAGAAAAAAGCAGTCATAAAAAAGATGCAAAATGGAAACAGCAAGATCAAGCATTATAAATTACCCTGATATCAGTAGCTGTACGACGAGAAGATAAGAAGAAGGTTTTCTTTACAGCAGTCCATTGTCCTGGACCAAACTGAGACATTCCATCAACCAATGCTACTACCTCATCCAAAGTCCAGGGCTGGCAACTCTTCCTTCTGTCATTCCTTTTTAACTTTCTGCCATTGAAGCTAGACTCAACAGGCTCATATTCCTCATCTGAATCTAATTCCTGCAAAAAGCGTGTCATGTTAATTGCTAACAGCAATAAGCCTACAAACAACATGGATCACCAAAAAAAAGAAAAAAAAAAAAAAAAAAAATTGACTGCAATAAGCTTCCAACTGCCATATATCAAAATCAAGATTCAAATTAAGGGACAGGCTACAATTGAACTGCTGTGATACGCATATACAAAGTATACCCTTACCAATGAGTAAAAGAAAAAATTTATCACAGTAGATTTTACAGCAATAACAACCACCAAAAATAATCCCCAGTTTACTTTAGGACTCAGTCCACTGTTCAGCAATAAAAAAGTCATTGATGATCTGATCCCTCGGTTACATACTGATAAGATTTAAGAATACACATTTTCCAAAACAATTTTACCAACTTCAGGTGCAAAAATTGGACCAAATGAGCTCCATTCAAGATAACTTAAATTTAAAAGTTGAATAAATTCAAGTAATAATGGAAGGCAAAGTGGGTACACATACAAAGACAGAAATGTACAGAGTAATATGTTTATACCATATCACTTGCCCAGGTCTTTGACGCTTTTACTTCCAATGCTTTTCTGCTGTGCTTCTTCAGAAACCTAGCTCCAAGATCTTTATCCTCTAATAAGCTGCTAGGATGTTTCTTAGCATTATGAAGCCTTAACTTCAACGATGAAGTTCCATCTAGATACCTCTGCGGAGGTCTGCACAATCTTCTTTGTCTAGCTCGGGTTATTTTAGTTTCAGCACAACTGTCAGTTGACGGGTCTTCCACACAAAAATCATCCACATCTGTGCATTGACTTGCTGAGCCAACTTCATCATGTGTATATATGGAAATGTATGGTGGTTTAACACAAGGGAAAGAAACATGTGTGTTATCTCTATCGTCATTGAAGGAACTTCCGATCTCCAAAGTATTTCGATCATCATTAGTGTCCTGAACATATTTAACATCACTAACAAGAGAACATTTTAAACCCATATTATCCTCCAGTGGTATCTGATACCTACATTTGCTCCCCAAGTCACCATGCATTTCTTTAGCAGTTTTTCCAAACTGATCATTAAAACATCGAGGCACTAGTACGGATGATTCAGATACCCCAACTTCTTCATTGCTAGTTTCTGGAGAGTGGATCTCAGATCTCAAGTTACCGACACTTAACTCATCATAGAATTTACAGTCCAGATCAGGGACCTTTTTATCAAAATCAACATCTAAAAACACAAAAGTGGAAATCTTTAGTGATATAAGTCTATCTTTTCAACCCAATTATGAAATCCATCAAAAACATACCCAAATAGTGATCTTCAGATGCATGTGAGATACTAACAGCAAGAGGTAGGTTGGTTAATTTATCCTCATGCAGAATTCCATCAAAATCCTAGAAGTGCACTTCCATTAGCAAACATTTTAAGATACAAAGAAAATAATAATTTGACAACGAAAACAAAGCCAGAAATGCCACTTCATCAAGAGAAATACAATTAAAAATAAAAAAATAAAAAAAGTGGTTTCTAGCACTATAGAAAAGATATTTTATGCAACATATAGCAACAGACAAGAACAAACTTTGAACTTGCAAAATGAAAGCAGCTTGTACAACACACAAAACAAATATGCAACGTGCAAAGGATGTAACCGACAAATTACGTGGTCAAAAAGGATAACAGAAAGAAAAGAGTAAAATGATATTGAAAAAAAAAAAAAAAAAAAAAAAGCTAACATACAAACAAATAAAAAAATTCAAAAAAAAAATCACATACACATTTTAACAAAAAATTATTATTAAAAAAAAATGAAAGAAAGAAAGAAAGAAAGAGAGAGAGAGATTGCCAAAAAAAAAATCAAATAAAAAAGAAGAAATCAAAAGAAGTAAAATGCTATTGAAACTAGCTCAAAAAGCAATGTCAAGAACATGAACAATGAACCACAGAGTTGACAAAAGATCACAATGCAGTGTTGTTATATACTCGTATGTAATGCTAGAAATTATTTCAAGATAAATGCAAGCATGCAACCCTAGCATGGAAGTTGATGATAATTGTTTTTCACATGCACAAAGAAAAAAAGAAAAGGAAAAAAAAAAAAAAAAAAAAGAGCTACATACACTGCATAATATTTCGCCTTTCCCTTCTTCAGTCATATAGGAATTCAGCCCACCTTCAGAAAAACATGAAATTATACAATTTAGAATGCTGTAATATAACCACATCAGGACTATCATGGTTATTAAAGTAGAGTTGTGAACACACAACAGAAGTAACCATTATGGACTGATCCTAGATTTGCACAGCTCTTAGGTGCTTTTATTCATACAAATCTTAAAAAATTAGACTTGATAATATATGTTACACAGTATAAGCAACAAACTCTTGAATATTTCAGAAATTGGAGATGACAAGACAATTAATAATACGCTGAGTCTCCTTACCATTTTCGGCAAGTAGCTCATAATGAAATACTGAAGATATATCATCAATTTTGAATGCATCCTCAAAGTTTGCATCAAAATACAGTGCAGAAGCTTGATCTTCTTTAGGTTCAGCCCACATATGTCTAGCATCAGAGCTTCCATATGCTAAGTCAGCAATATAATGTTCATCTTTCTTAACCTGGAATATAAAAAGTTGGTGGCAAGCGGTGACAAACTGAACACTCAAGTAAGACAAATAATCCAGATAAATATACACTCATTCAAGACAAATAATCCAGATAAATATACACTCATTTATGTGTTGTTGCCTGATATTTCCACGATTATTAGGACTGCCTTTTGACAGCTTTGATGCTCTAGTAAATAACAAATAGACATAAATATTCATTGAAATGGTGACAATATACTACATTATGCCAAATTTACAATCAAAAGATTGTCTGTTCTTTATTCCATTATTGGAAAATCCTCTTTACTACCCCTCTTAACCCATAATCTCACACCCAACCACCTTTTTACTCATTACACCTACTCAACTTTTCCCAAAAAAAATTTATCTACATGTCCATGGGAAGTAGAACAAAATAATTGGAGGTGGTATTCTCGACTCTGAATCATGGTCCCTTATGGTTATATTCTTGTTATATAGCTAAACCACCAACCAAAACAGTCGAAAACATCAATTAATCAAACATCAGTTTTCATAATTGACCAGAACACTATAAAATTCATATACTTCTTATAAGACACCATGGCATGAAGGGAGCTCCTGTAATTCACATCAAGAGGAAACCAGCTTTCAAATCAGCACTCCGCAAATATCAAGATAATCAAGGGTTACCATATCCATAGATAATATATAGGTTAACCATACCAACTCAATGTTTGCTAGGCCACATTAAAACAACAAAATTTAATCCAAAGATATGCATATATCTTAACACTGATTGCATTCTGGTGCAATGTTATACCTGTACAGTCAGATACAATCCATTACCTTTTTTTCTAACCAATGAGTTACACATATTACCTTCAGGCACACCGAACAAGAGACCTCAAACTTTAATTCAAATATTGCTAAGCAAAAAGTATTGCATTTCATAATGTCGATAAAGTAGACCTGCAGAAAACCCACAGTGTATATGCAAATATGCAGTACCATTTTAAGGAGTATAATTTGTCTAGCAACCTGGTTTTGGTTCCAACCATAGGATGTTGACTTATTGAGTAAACCCAAACATATTAACATTTGTTAGCACATAAGAGATTGGAAAGATTAATTTAGACTGAATCAACATCATTTAAAAAAAAGCCTGACAAATATATAATCCCAAATAACACTGTCATACCTAATAATTCAAATCTGTTTTCAAATCCCTGTCTCCCTAACACTTTCTTTTTCTTCAACATTTCTCTATCTGCAACTTCTCTAAAACAATTCAGTTACACTGTTAAAATGTCCTTGAACCTCCAAGCCTTTGCTGGCATTCTTATTCTTGATAAAGATTTTGAAGTTTGATCCGAGTAGTAGATAATTGAATACAGCTAGAGTTGACCACTAATGTGTCAAGTAAATAAGTAAATCAATGGGAGGACAGGAGGAGAGAGAGGAATAATTGGTGTTTAATTGTCAACCTTGTTTATAATTTTATTAAATTTTTTTTTTTTGGTAGATCTTGTTTGCGTAGGCCGTAGGTAGTAGTCCTAAACTCACAAAACTCTATTTCCTAAACAAATTACTTGACTACTATGTAATCCGGTATTTCACAAATATTGGAATTAGTAATTTAAGAAGTTTCAATTTCTAGTATTGATAATTACCATTCATACGTTTTCCAACACAACCTTGCACAATATCATCCCTTTGATAAAGTGCCTCTCAACATGAGTCTAAAATACAACTGCTGAGACATCATTATTATCAAAAACATTTGTTATAAAGGCATAGGCGGTCCAACTAAAAGGCAACATGTAGAAACTAAACACACTAGTTCACAACAACAACAACAACAACAACAAAAAAAACTGTCAATAGCTAACAAACACTCCTATTTCACCCTAAGCACTTGAGTTAGATGCTTGACAGTCTAATAAGACACTTAAACACTTCGATTTTAGCAAAAAAGGTGAAAAACACACGAAACATTTTACAAAATGAACCGAGTCGAGCACTTGGTCAAGCATGCAAAATGAACAAGTGTAATCGAATCCATGTAACAAAAGTTATGTTTAAAAGTCGAAATGGTCACTCAACCAAATTTCCCTATATAGTGACTCAAGCACTCAACTATATTTCCCTAATTTAGTGGCTCTTTGGACTATGTTGAACTATACAAGTACATGAAAATATTCAACTTAAATCCGACAATAGTTACTTCGATAAGAAGGTAAATATAAGCAATTTAATCACAAGTTTATCATACCTCTCAATTAAAATTGGCTTAAAAAGACAATTTAAACTACACAATTGTGAACAAAAATCTCATGCATGATAAATCAAGCGCTCAAAATCGAATAATTCAGTCCAAACAGTTGATAAACTACAGTCTCAAGCATTCAATCGCAAATTCGCAACACAACTAACAACGAAATTTGAACAAATAACAACAAATTCAATTAAAATTACAATAAATACTCCATAAAAAAACAACAAAAATTGAAAAAATAAATAAAAAAATAAAAAAAAACACAAAAGCAAAACAATCGATATTACTTCAAAGTATAAAAAAATTAAAATGCTGAAGAACAACAACAAAAATTAGCAGAACTTGAAAAAAATAATTGAACAAAACTAAAATCATTAAATAAAATTAATTAAGAACAGCAGAAGTAAAAGTAAAATAGAGCAAAAGTAGCAGAAAGCTGACCTCATTCATGGTCGGCAGAGAGAAAAAATGGAGAATCTGGTAGAGAGAGAAAGGGGAGAGAGAAGGATTGTCTTAGGAAATGACGGATAAATGGTGAGCGAATGTTCGAAACTGAAAAACGCTTCAGACCGCCGAAAAGTGACACGGAGGAGTGAGAAAGTGGACACTGGAGAAAGGAGATATTGCAAGGAGGGAGGGAAAAACTGCCCCCGGATTCACTTCTTGTTTTTTGTCTTTATCTTTCCGTAGGGTCGGTCTTATATATAACGGGTGTATTCAACTAAATCAAGTCCCGCACACTCTCACATGTACTCCGTAACAAACTAGAATTTGATAACTATTAGAGGACTATTAACCGACCTTAACCCTTATTGATTTTGTTTTGGTCCAGTATTAAATATAGAGAAAATCCAAGTTTTTCTCCATGAGAAACGTCCTTAACTTATCGCAGGTCATTAACGTCCGACTCATAAATCATGGGTGTTTTAGTAACTTTATTATGTATTCTGTTAAACACTACAAACGGAGTAGTTGGACATGGAGAAAACGGCAGCTAGTCATCTTCATCTTCTTCACAAACCTCAAAAATATCAACCCAGTTATTAACCCCTAAACAACACAACAGCAACCCAATTATTGATCCCATCAACAATAACAATACCCCAGCCTCCCCTAATCGCTAGAAGCATCTACAAAACATTGTAAAATAGAGAATCAACAAGTTCTTGTAAGCTTTAATGGAGATATCAATGGAGGGGAGAAATCTCACTTACCCTTTAGGGTTTACCATACCCTTTTTCTCCACTTAAACTTAGGATTTTCGTTTAATTCAGCGGCTTTACTTTATTTATTCTTAGGGTTTTCGTTTAATTCGGCGGCAAAGCCGTCGAAAATGGTGGTGGTGGTGAAATTTCCATTGAAATGACTTGAAGAATGAAGAAGGAGTAAAGGAGGAAGAAGGTACGTACTACGCGGTTGATTAAGACAGTTGCTACAACCACATATCTACAACCTGAAGCGAAGAAGGGCTTCTCAAATTTACAAATTCTACATACTCATGTTATAAAAAATTTAGAGATGTAAGCTTTGTAAAAATCATTGTTTCCATGGAGTCAAACTCAGAGGTCTTTGAAGAAAGAGGAAATGGAGTACATAGATCTTTGAAGAGAGAGGAAATAAAGAACTCTGAAGTTGTTACGTTTGTTGTAACGACGTTACTTAATAGACAAAACTAGTTTTCCTTTATCTTTCTAATTTTAATTCTTAAATATTGACGTGGCAAATCATATTCTGTAAATATCTCTATATCATTGCCATTGAGAGCAATGTTCTTGTTTCTCTCTGATAGAAACCTGGGTGTCCTCGTATTTATAAACCAAACACTTTGAAAGTTTGGAGTGAGAATGGTAAGGGAATTCCTATCCCTAAGCAACTTCACTTTTTATAATTCAAACTTCAAAACCTAAAGTAAAATCTATATCAAATGAGATAAGTCTTACTTGGTGTATTTCTACTAATATAAAGTAAAGTTAATTTAATAATTCATTAGTGTAATTTTTATCACCTGTGGCAAAACACAAAGTCTCAAATCATTTTTGTCAAATAATCTACCTAGGAATACATATAACCTAATGCACGTTTTACCCATTGTAGTCATCCTCTTCAAAGTTCATTGATATAAAATTGTTTCTGTTACTAGGGCGTCGTGTGCATCATAACTTGTCATGTCTGTGGAGCTCTATTGGTTTACTACAAATTTATTTGTTGGCTGCATTAATATTTTTAGGATACAAATGTCCGTATATTATTTTTTACAATTCAAAAAAGAGGCAGTTAACATTAATAAGGGCATATGAATAAACAAATATTTTCAGGGGTATAAAGTACGTACATTATGCATAAAAATTTGCTTGAACTTTTTAAAAGAGAAGAAGAAGATATGGATATAGGCTATAGAATAAGAAGTACTTGTCATAATGTGTGATTATTATTAGAATGTGTAATTCTCCTCAAGTGAGAGTGTTCTCATTAGTCAGAATATCATGAGATACAACCTTAATGTTATCGTAAGCCGAATAACATAATTACACAATAAATGAATTTACAAGATATAGTGAATATTAACATATTCTATCACACCCCCGCAGTCGAAATGGAAAGAGGAAAGACGCTCAGACTGGATCTGAAGTCGAGGAACAATTGTTGAGGGAGGCCCTTGGTAAAGATGTCTGCGTACTAATACGAAGAGAGGACATGTAAGACCCGGACTTGACCCTTAGAAACCTTTCCACGAATGAAGAGAATGTCCATTTTGATGTGTTTGGTTCGTTGATGTTGAACGGGGTAGCTAGACAAGTAAACATCAGAGACATTATCACAATATACCAGGGTGGCTATCTGAATGGGACAATGAAGCTCTAAAAGAAGATTACGGAGCCAACATGTCTCGGCAACGACGTTTGCAATGCCACGGTATTTGGCCTCGACACTCGAGCAAGACAAAGTAGCATGTCGCTTAGTAGACCACGAGATGAGATTATCTCCCAAGAAGACACAAAAGTCCGGGTAGAGCGATGAGTGTCTGGACAACTGCCCCAATCAGCGTCTGTGAGGAAGGTGGCCCGTCGTTGGGGATCCCACTTCCTCTATGCCCTTTACCCTTTAAAAGTCTAGTACTTTACACTTTTTAGGGTGTATTAGGATTTGAATTCCTGACTGTTTGGGAGACCTTGAATTAGAATTGAGCCTATCATTACCTTTTTTTTTTATTAGAAACCAATAGAGAGTTGCCAATGAGGTTTAGGAAAACTCATAATCCTCGTTCACATCTTTCTCCGGTGTAGAGTTCAAGGATATTTAGCATGAATCATAAGTTTACCCATGCTTAAATTGGTCTACAAGTACCAGAAATGAGTTCGGGAGCGAGGGTACTATGATAACGTTCATTTTTGGGAGAAATCGCCATCCTAGCCCTAGTGTGGCCTCTACTAGCTCTTACTTTTTCACAATATCATTGCCAAACAATATATGCAACGCGATAACTAAAACTAAGTTAGTTGCTTTTATTTACAAGCAAGAATCATGAAGGTCTACATTGCAACGAATGTCGTTATTCTTTTTTATTCTAATTCGTGAAAAGGTTAAGAAATAAACCATATTCGCCTTGACTTAAGTGATAAAACAATAATCAATTTATTTGATTCTAATCTTTAATTAATGCAAGATACTATGTGAAATTAATTAATTAGAGTTTATATAAAGTGATCAAACAACACTAATTAATTAATTAAAGTTATTTAAACAAGAAAGGAAAATAAGTGCTTAGGAAACTTACCATTCTCTTTTTTTGCTAGATTTTTTAGCGTTTATGGACTTCCCTCCTTCTTTGTACCTCCAAAGACTTCAAAAGAATATACTAGGGTTAAAGAGTATTTGGAAGAGAGGGAAAAAGTAGTATGATAGTAATAGAGAACTTGAGAGATTAGGGATTTCAGAATGCTAGGGTTTTAATTCTGATTTTTTGTCCTTTTTAGGTCTAATGAAGACCCCTATTTATAGGCATAAGAATCTAGGTTTAGGGTTTTAGAGCCGCGACGTCAAGAGGTGCGCACAACTCTTAAAGTTGCGCTGGAGTGCCGAGCGCAAATTTAAGACTTGCGTTGGGCTGTTGCACGCAACACTGGAAGCTGCGTGCGGTGCGGTTTGCCTTATATGAAAATGCGTTTTTGAAACTTATATATTATTTTATTAAGAAGTCATATAAAGGAAAATAAGATATCATTGGAAATCTCTAAATGTCTACTTTCCAATTCCATTAGAATTAGGTTAAAAGCTTTTGTGGATTAAAAGATATGGCCATTTTAGTGCAAGAGTATCGGTTTTCGGGCCCGATTTAGAATTTTGATGATATCTTCTTCGTTTTAACACAAAATTGGGCTTATAATATACTGTTGGAAATCACTTTAAAAGGAATATCCATTTGTATAGGCCTTTCACGGAAATTATGTGGTCAATTGTTCTAATTGGCTCGGTTTTCAACAATGTAAGATCCATTTGATACAATCATTGCATTTGACACATTTAGGTCCATTATTAATCAAGATTAATCATGTATGAGCACGTTTTAGGCCTAATTAGTAATCGAACTAGGCTCTAAGATAATTTGGTCTCAAATACAGGTTTTATCTTGCTTCATAATGCATTTCGGAGTCCATAAACACTACAACTTTGATCCAACATGAAAAACGGGTTTTTGTAACATCATCGCACTTCCCGTCGAGACCAAAGGCCAAAAGTAGGTGTCTATAGTTAGCCCCCACTTTGATCGAGTCTTGAATAGACTAAGATAAAAGTAGTCAATAGGAAATAAATCCACGACTCATTCTGCGAAGTTCTGTAAAGATAAAGAATCTTTCAGCAGTGTTAAGAATGTCACAACTATCCTCGGTTCGCTAAATGTTCAAGACAAGTAGCTATTAAGATCAAATAAATTAAACCTTAGTGGGCTAAAGAATCTAGGTTGACCCTTTGCAAGTGTAGAACGCTTTTACAAGTAAAGGTTGTCCTGGATGATGTCATTTTTATGAAAAGGTATTGGGTTTAAAAAGATGAAAAGAGGATGCATGAAACCTTCTCAACATGGCATCGACAGTCTAAAGTCTCTCAATCTGTCATTGAAACTGATTAGGGGATTTTTCCCCGCCACGTGGTCCACTCAAGTCCTGCCACGTGTCATCCACGTGGACAAATCAGAAGCCGCCATGTGTCACCTCATGAGAGGTCCAAGGTGGACCAATCAGGCCACGACATGTGGCAGACAGATATCCCATCAGGATCCTACGGCCCAATTTCCTAGGCAAAGCCCAGTCAGTCCTAGGTTTCTGAAACCTAGTATTGGGCACGTTTTCCATCACCCTATAAAAGGGAGATGTTTCCCTCTGAGGAACATTATTCAGAAATAATCAATTCACATTAACTCACAATCAGAGAAAGTCGGATACCTGACACCTCGAATTGAGCAATTACACATTGCAGATACTCTCTTGGAATCCAAGAGAGACCCTTTACTTTTCGCACTTTACTCCTCTAACACGTTCTAACTTGATCGTCGGAGGAGGAACTCCCACCCACAGGAGTCTCCATTGTTTTGCAGGTACAGGCAGCAGGAGGTCAGTCTTGGTGTTGTAACTCTCCCGCAGGACATCTAAAAAACCCCGAAACAGAAACTTTAGTCCATGATTTTGAAGAAAGAAAGATGATAAAAAAGAGTGGTGATTCGGCATGTAGCCTAATACTTGAATAAAAATTGGCATTCGCTGCCAAAACAAAGATTGGATGTTCATAAGATGGAAATACACGTCTTAGGATAAGAGGCACGATAAGTGCATATTTATCCATATTTTTATTCCCTAATTTTATATTTATAGTCATCTTTTATTATTACATCGAGTTATTGTCTATGTTATGATTTTTTGAGTTATATTTAGCAACAATATATATATTTTTTTATTAACAATTGAACTTAATTAATACATTTTATCTTATTAGGTGACTATGGGCTATAATTGGAGCAAAATATTTCACATTGCCAAGCAAATTAAAAGAAGTCCACATTTCCCTTTATTCACGCTCAAAATGAAGAAAGAAGAGGAAAAACTTCCTATTTCCTTCCTCTGTATTGCTCCACTAAAAGAAATAGTTCAACCCTCTTATTCATCTCGTCTTCACGACAAAACAATACAAAGGAGATGAATATAAAATCTTCTTCTTGTTATAATTGAGAGATTTAATTCGTGCCAATTAAAGAAAAATGCAGAAATTAAGGAAAAATTACTTTGATTATTTTTGGGAACGAAATTCTCTTGACTCTGTCAATTCCAGTACCAATTTTAAAAATTGGGAGCCCTATTACCCAATTACGGACATAAACAAAACAGCTGACGTAGGGAAAACTAGGTCATTGACTAATCCTCCGTAGAGCCAAACAAAATTTATAATCACTTAACAAACCTAAATACAAGTATAGAGGTAAGTCAAGGGTCGAACCACTAGGAATGGTTATAGTCAAGTGCTTTCAATTAACGCCTAAGCTAGGTCGAAGTCAAGGGTGAAGAATAGAGTAACTAACACTAATCAACTACCAAAACAAACAATCAAACAAATGAAACACTAGGGAATGGGATCAACATGTAATTATGAAAATTGCAACAACTTGCGAA